ATCATGCGTGGCATCATCTGGAGGTAGGTAACATTATTGTAGTTTCTCCGGCGAGCGGCTGAGGTCGGCCGGCGGCGGAGGTATAACACAAGTGATGAAGTGAGGCAATAAATAGATAATTAATTAGCTACCGAAGGAAGAATCCAAAGGGATAGCATGATCCAAAGGCAACATTTACACGAACGAACTTTCTCTTAGGAATTAGGATCAATGCGATCCCTTTGGATGCCTCCTCTAGTTGCAGTTGCAGTTGCTTCTTCTTCTCCTTCTCCTTCTTCTTCTTCCTCTTCTGTGTATGGAGTGCGGAGCCCCTTCCCATTATAACTACACAACTCTCTCTCTCTCTCTCTCTCTCTCTCTCTCTCTCTCTCTCTCTCTCTCTCTCTCAACTTTGAGATCCAATGATGAGGAAAATGCTCCTTTTTTAATTAGAAGGAAAATGAAAAACGAGCAAATCAGCGGGTCACGCCAAATTTCATATTAAGAAAATAAACATGCAAGAAATTAAAACTAGATCAACTTGGTTTAGACTTTTAGTTTTCCAAACTATACTTTAATTAATAAATCAACCGAGCAGCTAGTAGGAGGATGAATTTCCAGTCAACATAGAATTTGATTCCTGATCATGTGGTTCAACAAGAATGATCTACCTATATATATAGTATATATTCTCTCATCAATATATAAAAAGTGTAAAAAAATCTCGAAGAGGAAAACAAATCGAACATAATTGGTGGCAATAATAGCATTTAATAAATTTTATATGTTTTATTTTCCTTAACTTATTTTTGAATGAGCCCTTCTATTCTATGGTGGTCTCCACATTGTTCCATTCCATCTCTACTCACAAACAACCCTTCCTCTCTTTTATTTTCTCTCAATGCTTTCTCCACAAGGAATACATTCTGTAGAATTTGATGATGCGGAATTGAAACGAATACAGAACACAAGGGATTTTACGTGGTATCCTCGATCGAATGATTGATCGAGACTAATCCACGGTGAGCTCGAAACGAGCTCACGACTGATTTTTTTTTATGCGACTACATCTTGACGGCTTGCTTACGACATGACCGTAGCTAAGCTTTTATAGATATAGACTTAGGGTTAAAACCCTAATGACAACCAAGTTTCCTTCTTTTACTTGAACAAGGAAACTAGGGACTTGTAGGACAAGGAATTAATTACTTTTTGACTAAGTAATTAATATCCTCAACACTCCCCCTCAAGCGAAGACATGAATGACAAGAATGTCGAGCTTGAAAAAGGAAATGTGACGAACAAGCATGACAAGCTTGAACAACATAACTCGAGATGAATAACATCTCGGACAAGGTTGATTTGGAGACGACTGACTCTCTCCCTTGAACAACCTGATGAAGATGGTTGACTGCATCTTCTTGAACGTCGCGCGGAGACGGTTGATTGCGTCTCTTGAACGACCTGACAGAGACGGTTGACTGCGTCTCTTGAATGACTTGACGGAGACGATTGACTACGTTTATCCGTATGATATGGTGGAGATGGTAGTAAGAAACTACGGAATGTGGCCACATTAGTTTGGTTCAGCATGTGAAACTCAAATCAAAGGCCACTGTGCATTGTTCAACCAGATCGATGCCGACACTATAACAGGTGTATTATTGTTTTGTAGCTATGGCCTATGGGCACCTCAAATCATATAGGGAAATTAATAGAATGATCAGTTCATCATAAGCTGCAAGAATTGGATTATTGGGGGGGCATTGTATATATATGTGATTCAAAATTTATGTGTGGTGCAAGATCTTGTCCACACTAGTGAAGCACAATGGACCACCACTACACTACTATAGGTACCCTCATTCAGCCACTCCACAGTGGAATTTACAATAGGTCTCTCAAAGGACTATAATATTACCCCCACTCATAAATCAAACCACTACCAACTACCACGAATAGTATAACAATACGAACGGAAAAATTATCTGTGGACTTCCTAAAAGATGAATCAAATAGCCGCTTTAACTCAAAAACTATACTATTGACTTACTCTACTGCGAACTCGCTTTCGAATATTGGGTGTGAGTGAGGCGATGATTTGAAAGTAGAGAATTTGGTTGGGGTGGTGGGTTATGTTGGGTGTGTACTATGTATCTATCACACCAGAAAATAAATTCAGTGTCCCTTGTTTGCAAGACAATGGATTTTATGTCAACTATCAAATTCCGTAATGGATCTCCTCCTCTCAAATACAAGCAAAGTGGCCATCGGAGGAAGGAAACACTCAGGACGACAAACGGGTCATTCATGTCGACTTCCCAACTCTCAAGCAAAGCAAAGCAAAGCACCATAAAGTTTAGAATTGGCCTTTTTCATTACACAAATGAAATGATGATCACTGAAATTGGAATTCCTTGTATCATCAAATTACTTAACATATGGGTAAATAACAAAATTAGGCAAAGGAACAAGGTTGTCAACCCGCGGGTTGACCCGCGGGTCGACCCACTTTGACCCTGACCCGGTGAGAAAAACGGGCCGCACGCACCCACCGGGCCCACCGCTATAAGGTACCGGGTTGAAGGTCAAATTGTGTCATTTTTTTCTTTGGGTTGCGAAATGCGCCTATTTTCCGATTTTTCTTTTCGCCTAACTCAATCTTTGGAATCCTAAGTTGAACATTTGAATATTTATGTTATGTTATTTTGGTGTAATATTATATGTTATAACTCATATGTTAGATAAGATTTGATATAATTTATGAGGATAAGTACAATATAATGATTTTTTCCATATTTCCGGGCCAAACCGGACTAAAATGGTTGACCCATTAACCCTTGACCCACTAGCTCGACCAGGTCCGGGTCAACCCGCGGGTTGACAACCTTGCAAAGGAATCTTTGGTCCACAGAGAGAGGGCACTTCAGTTGGTTGGGAAAACGAAGAAAAAGAACAACACCCACCGCCACCATTCCATTCCATGATCCCCCACAACAACAATAAAAAGGAGAACAACAAGGGAAGGGACCATCCATCCCAATTCCCACACTCAACCAATTTTTTCTTTTCTTTTCTTTTCGTGTAGGGTTTGTTATTGATTGTGGTATTTGTTTACGGTTCTAACACGACTTTCTTCTTATGAATGGTGTTTTGCCAACTCTTTTTAATTGTTTACGCCTGTGAGAACTGTGTGCTCCGATCCTTGGCGTGATAAGAGGGATTTGGATAATAATGTATAGATGGCAATTGCACTCAGGAAATGAATGGGAGGGGGACCAATGATGCATCATCATAAGTGATATTAATTCCAGGGAGGGAGCTCTAACATGCATTAAGATCACCATGTAATGAATTGGAATGTCGACATGTGTAATTAACTACATACCAATATATTTATCAACCCTACAAATTGAAGAAATATGACCAAACAAATTAAATATATAGTATGATAGGGGATCGTTGTCCAGAGAGTAGGCATTTTCATAAAGCTAAGTCTCGTTGACGATGATAATTGATAGATAATCATTTGTTGTAACAATATTATTAATGGATTAGGTTCTCTAGCTAGACCAATCACTCGAACCAAATACTAGGTCAGATGCCATAATTTGTTTAGCTGAAGGTAATTAGTCTTTCAGAACCGAAATCACGCAAATGAGCAAAGTATTAGGCATCTCTGTGGCAAAAATTGGATTAAGAGAACAACAACATGAATTTATAAAAACCAAATCAGAGCAAGAGTCACGTAAGTGAATCAATACGTTATCTTTCCGACAAACTTTCTTAGAAAAGCACTTGGCTAGCTAGATCAACTAGACCATTAGGTGTTAGAAGCGAGGGAGAGGGGTGGCAAATATGAGTGAGACAAGGTAGGTAAGAATATGTCTAGTTCATATTTGTATTACCAAATTGGGAATGTGACCACAATCAATATTGCCTTTACTCATGAAGTTTTGTCTCACGAAAGAGCAAGTATGGGTGGTGGCGGGGTTGGTCCATGCACATGGCATTGAGCCCCAAACCTTAGTAGATGTTCCTCCAGCCATTTGTGTGTCTGTTACTTCCTGGAAGTATGTATGAGGAGCATTTGGATTCTTTTTGATCAATTTGGTCTCACTTTACTTGGAAATGTTCCTACCTAGAGGATGACAAGAACCTGATTCTAAAAATTTGTTGATTCCATATGCCTACTACTCTATCATGTTGGTATAAACTCAATCTTTTCGCGCGATTTACTTTAAATATTTTTTACTATTATATCACTTTGATGTTTAAGGTCTAGATCGTTGGAGGGGAGGCTCCCTTACGAATACTGAAAGCACCTAAAGTATAAATTGTAGTGAAACACCATCATTTCAATCTGAAGTCAACCCCTTGAGAGTTTTAACTTTGAATCATTGTGTAGGTAGGTACCACAACTTGAAAAACAACATATCGTTGATGAAAGGCTAAGAGAAAAATATTAAAAAGGCCGAACAGAGATCAGTAAGAAGTTGGGCCGCGTTTTCTATTGAGCTCGGGGGATCAAGGCTTCGTCACTTCTGGCTGGACTCTCTGGACTATGGAGACGGGCGGATGATTGGAAAATGAAACTGGGCCTAATGAAAAGAGGAAGGAAATGGTTGGGCCAGGCGAAACAGATGGGCTTATGATTGAAAGCGGGCTGGATCAGATCTGTGATAATACAGGAAAGTGCGACTCTGGGTCCCACCGAATAACAGAATGTAATGTCACATTACCAAGTGTGCCCCACAAAGAGCTATTCTGATTTACCGGAAAACCCCGCCTTCTCAGCTACTAAACCACCAACTGCCAGGGGTACAAGCGTAAACTCAACCCGTTCTTCCTCCACAATCCAGCTCCCGAAGTCAATGGTTGGTCAAATCGATGCCACAACGAGAGCGAGAAGCAGAAAAGCGGCGCGAAACGATGCCGGCTTCATGGGCAGGAAAGTAATTTCGGAAGGAAACCGCCTTTACAGTAACCGGAAAATGGGAATCGTGAAACCCGAAACATCAGCCCAATAAACTCTCTCTTTGACCCATTTGCAGTTAGAGAGGTAGGTACAAAGAAAAACCAAAATTCAAAACCAGTCGAAAGAGAGAATGGGGAGCCGAGACGGTGGCGATGAGGCGATGAGGGAAGCGCAGGAGGAAGAAGAAGAAGAGGAGGATGATACTGGCAATCTGGTGGACTCGCCTCCCACGACTGGCGGCGGTGGAGGTGGTGGGTCTTCAGAGGTCGGGGGTGGCGCCGGAGGTGGAAGCGGAGGAGTGGTGAATAGTAAAGTGAAAGGACCCTGGTCGCCGGACGAAGACACGGTGCTAGGTAAACTGGTGAGCAAGTTCGGGGCGAGGAATTGGAGCTTGATCGCTCGGGGGATTCCAGGCCGGTCCGGTAAATCTTGTAGGCTCAGATGGTGTAATCAGCTTGACCCTTGTTTGAAACGGAAGCCTTTCACTGGTAAGCTTTTACTGCTCCTGAATCTCCCCCACCGCTCTCGCTCTCTGTCTCTGCTTTGCATTTTCCATCCAGAGCGGTTTTAGGTTTTCTCAAAGGGTTTTTGCTTTTGATCTTGTTAGTTCGGTATCCTTTTCGCTTGCGTTTCTTGGTTGCGGGAGAATTTTGTTCGGAGTGTTGAACTGTCTGATTGTTTCAGTTTGCCTCTTAGCTTTGCGGAACTGATTATGGATCACACGATTGTTTGGAGATCTTTCACGAATTGTGAGGTTGCTCAAATGGGTTTCTTAGTACGTTTGATGCCGAGGCTGAGTTTGCTTTAGGGAGATAACAGAGCAGCTGATGTTTTGGTGGTCTTCAATTGACAACTTTCCTTCGCCTATCTTCCATTGACTAGTTATCAATGTGTTTGAACCAAGTATGGACTTGAGTATGTTCCGCTGAATTGGTAGAGGAACACTAGGATTCATTCATGGGCAAGAAGAACCCAGAAGCTGACTCTGTGTTAATGTTTATGTCAGTCAATTTCATGGTTACTGATTATGACTTCAGTCCTTGAATCCTTCTTAAGGGGAAGGCGAGTATTGAAGGTTTATGCTTCCTGTCCTATATTTAGCTTGCCAAGTCAGCAATGTATTGACTGAAGAAAGACATTACAGATCCAGGTACCTGTGAAGGTGCCCAGGTACCTGTGAAGGTGCCATATATGTGGGAATGACACAATTAAATCGACATAATGTTTCTCAAGATGGTTCTTATGAGAACATATCATATTTCTTGTTAGTTGTTATAGGTTCTATTTGGTAGTTATCTCCGACCTTAGAGCATATCCAATGCTTTTTTTTTTTTTTTTTTGGGTGGAAATATCCCGATGCTTCATATGTCATGTTAGTTCCTTTCATTGTATCGTTCTGACATCATGCCTCCATGCTGGATGACACAACTGCTTGTGTTGCTCTTGTTTGTTAACCTCATTCTTAAAAGATCCTAGCCAATAAGCATGAGAGATGATTGTTGTAGGCATTCCAGCTCTTTCATACTAAGAGGTCAAAGATGTATGCTTATATTATTGTATCACGCACTTATGCTCTTCAAATATACGAGACCTTTCGACCCTGCCAATTTTTTCCATGGACTAGCACCAATCAACATACACATTTTCTTGTGCTGCTTTTGATCCCTAAATATGGTCCACTGTTTGTGTGATATTACATGTAGAACTTTGAGGAGCCCTATCACTACATATTGGGGAAGATTGCTCTTTCATCGGTTGCTTTCTATCCTTTTCTCTTATTCGTTTTGTTTTGCTTGAAATGCTATCATTGATTAATCAATGTGAACTCAATATTGCAGATGAAGAAGACCGTATCATTATTTCAGCTCATGCTGTCCATGGAAACAAATGGGCAGCAATCGCAAAACTACTGCCCGGTAGAACAGATAATGCTATTAAGAATCACTGGAATTCAACTCTAAGGCGCAGATATTCTGAGCTCTCAAGATTCAAACGTGCAGCTGTCAACATGATGCTGATGGAAAATGGTAGCTACAACATTACAAAGGCATCATCTTCAGAAGAAACTCCTTCGGTTGGTGAAGGCAATTCAGTAAAGCCCATTGAACAGCGAGATGTTGCAATGGAAGAAAGACCCCAAATGGATGAGGAGATTTGTAATACTCAGGATGTGGTTCACTATGCCTCGGTCTTACCCCACGAACAGCCTCCTAGCCTTCCTCGTCCTGTGGCGAGAGTCAGTGCATTCAGTGTTTATGTTCCTCCGAATGGCCCAAAAGCCAGCAGGGCAACCTGTCACTCAAGACAAATTCCAAACCACGAACCCTTGGTCCAAGCTTCAAAACCAGACTCTTTTGGAAGTGGAAAGTTTCTTGAAGGTATTTGCAGCGAGCCGACAGTTCCTCCCAAATGTGGGTTTGGCTGCTGCTCAACACCAAGTGGTGGTAGCTTGTCTGGGAGCTCAGTATTGGGACCCGAGTTTGTCGACTACGAAGACTCATCACTCCCCTCTTTCTCAAGTCAAGAGCTAATCTCGATCGCCACAGATTTGAACAACATAGCTTGGATAAAGAGTGGGCTTGAGAACAGCAATAACAGTTTCTTACAAGGCAGTGCTGCTGCAAGCCAGAGAATCGTCCCTCAAGCACCAGCCTTGGCTTCACAAATGGGAATGCCTGAACAGAACTTCAGAAATGGCCATATGGATGGTCAAACCAAGTTCGTCGGGGTGATGCCAGATCATATGTCATATGCCTGCTAGACCTTTAGCAATGAGAGCTGAAGTCGAAAGCTTGAGCTAGTAAACCATGCAGCTAAAAGTTCGTACTCCGAGATATTCCTTATTGGGTGGAAAAGAACAGAATCTTTCATCGTGGGCGGTACTATCTTTTACTTGATAGTTGATATGATTATTTTGTTGAACTGAGGCTCGTATATTTCCCAAAATTGGCTTATAGAGTCCCGGATACGTTACTGATGGTAACTGTCATGGGTTGCTTTTGGCTTTTACTAAGTAGTGAAACTTGTCTATAGCTCCTCCCAAGGTAGGAACATTCCGAAACTCGGTGAATTAGATGTTTCATGACCATAAAACAGACAACTTCCTGGATTGTGAGAATGTTGTTTGTAAATTCACAGTTTTTTTTTCTGATGAGGGGTGTTTGATCGGGATTTTTCTATTGTAAATTTGTTCTGCATTGTGAAACACGGTGAAATTATGTTCAGCTGTCATCCAGAGTTGGTCTCAGATGCGGATCAGGTAAGATGGCACGGAGACAGGAGACTTGGGTCATGCTTTTAGCCTTCTCGCTGGTTCCACAGGCCTGCGCTTGGATGTGCTCGAGGACGGTAGTGCAAATCCTTGTATCTGCTCCATTCACTGGGCAGCCAAGTTGGTAACCGAGCAGATGGAGCACGGTCCTGATGCAGGTGTTTGGCTGTGTTCACCTGCAATGTACGACCATGTTGGAGGTCGTTGTGTAAGTCCGGGTGCTTCTGTTCATGTTCATGAGGTCGTTATTATGGGCACATTGTAGTCTGGTTGGCGAAGCACAAATAGATCGATACCTCGCAGGTTTAGTTCCAAATTGGTTTCGTGGTGTTAGTTTTGAAGCTTCAAAATTAACATCTCTTCGTATTTTAGGTATAATCAAGCAAACAAATGTAGTCACCAAATTTAGAAAATTGCAGAGAATTAAAAGACGGTGAGATAGCGTCCCAAGTCCTAACATAACATGGTCTATCCCTCAGGCTCAGAGGAGTAATAAAGTAGCATTATGGGCAATGATGAGGCAAGCTGTAGGATGCATAACTGGGCTGAACAGCCGCAGAGGCTCGTGATGCAATTGAAAACAGCCCCAAAAGAGAGAGAAAGGAAAAGGGCAGTGAAGCTAAGCTAAGCTATAGCAAAAGCAAAAAGAGGCAAATGGGAAACTTGCTTTTCGACACCTAATTTTAACCTCTTGCTGTCTGTGGCAAATATCAATTATGAAGGTGTGACTTCCCATCTTTAATTACCCCAATTTTTTGGCTTCATTTCTTTGTCCCTTTTCTTCCTTTTCCCAGGAATCCTCAACAACTATCAATCCGATGGCTAGTGAACAACTGGTCAAATTTTATAAACTAGCGGGTGCAGTGGGCGGATCCAAATTTTTTACATAGGGGTGTTCTCTTTCACAAAATAAAGTAAAATAAAAATAATTAAATAAGAAAATATCCAACTCGTACAAGTTTAAAAAAATCTATTATGTATTTTTATATTCTTAAAAAAATTGTAAAATACACTTGGTGTCTACACTGCTCATTCACGAACTGACGCATATTCGACCACTAAATTTGTTATTGAAGTAACTCAAATTGAAAAGACACTTTCAGCACTTGTCGTACAACCATAAAATCAATACAAATTAAGAGTATCTTGTAATTCGATGAATTGTTAGGTTTGAAAATAATTAAAGATAGAGAATAGGATTTTGCTATTACAAAGTGTTTAGAATAGAACAACAAAAAAGTTGTAGCCTAATGAAAATTATATTTATTAATAATAGTAGTGTCCCGGGTTTGAATTATCCAAACTAGCACTTATATTCTCATATGCAAACTACAAACGAGAGTAGGACAATCGCTTTTTTCAAATTTCAGGGTGTCCCGGACTATCAATTAATTTTTTTTTTGTCCATACGTAAATTACCACCGGAGGTTGGTTAATCGTTTTTCCAAAATTTAGGGGTGTCCCGTAAACCCTCCTGGTCCGTCCCTGAGCGGGTTGTATGAAAATTGTTAATAGTAGAGACATAATCTGTAATGTGTAATTATGTATGATTAGTAGTAAAATAACCAACTACAAAAGTTCTTCGAAGTGAAGCATCTACTTGTACTGTTTCGAGTCACACTATTGCTAATAAATCTCATATATGATTTTCCTCTGTATCACCCAACCTCTGTGGATCAATGTTTGCAAAAGTAGGCTCGATAGGTGACCATGAAACTGTTACATGCTCACGCTTCTATGATCCATCTCTTTTGTCGTATCAAAGTTTCATTTTATCATTCGACGCATCAATGCACAAGCTGATTGTGTTGCGCGAACTTTTTAAGATGGGTTCTCCATCTAGATCCAGCAATCTTGTACTTTACTATTTGTGCACCAGTAAGTCCACTTCATGAAATTTTTGGAAGTATGTATCCTTCTGTAACTAGTACCATATGAAACATGCCCTCTAACCCTGTCGATAGAGATAAGCAACAGCTCAGTTCAATCAACCTCTCGCAATTCCCCTAATAATAAAAGTAGTCACGAAAAACAACAAAGAAAACAACCCCTCCTCTCCTCCTCCTACATTTCTCATCTCTCATAGTCATCTCCTTCAATCCCACCTCGCCTCAATAATACACTCACTCTCTATTATTATCTCTTTAAAAGAACAAGTTACAAGTTTACTGTTTCTTAGAGTCACATCAAAACACTGTCACTTGGTTTGCTTTTTTGCCTCTTGTTCTCCTTTCTGATTGGCCCTTCTTCTGAGTACTGACATCCATAGGTGGCTCTCTTTTGTAATTAACCATTAACCAAGGTTTTACTGAGGACGAAAAATGCACTGATGTTTCCTTTCTTTGCCAGATTTTAGCTGAGTCTTCGTTTGTAATCATTGCTTTCCTCTCTTTGGTCTCTATGCTTTTTGCCTGGGTTGCTTCGCCAGCGACTTCTCTTCTCTCTGCAACTCATCGGTTTTCGGAACTCCTCACCTTTCCCCTGGAAATGACAGGACTGCCGCTTCCTTATCTGTTCCTTTCCCCACAAAAGTCTTGTTTTGCTTTGCTACCTTTCATTTATGCTCCTCACAGATTTTCCCTCTTCTATCTTGCTTTCTTCTATTGCTCTTCCATGGTGACCCATAAATTGCTTCTTGACCTCAGCGACTCCGATGGCCCTCAGACTCTTCTGAAGCTGCGCCTCCTTAATGCGTGGGGGTCTTATGGTCTGAAGAATCCTAAATTAATCTTCAACTACTGCACTCTTTGGAACGATGAGGAGGTTAGCGCTGCTTTTCTGTTTTTTTTTTTTGCCATGCAGTTTTGCGCCTCCCTTTTGTTTGCAGCCCTCTGATGTTCGTGTATTTCCTGCCCAGGGTACTTTGATTCAGGGCACAGCTCCGTCGGAACTCACGCGCCATTTTGCTCCGCTTCTGCAGTTGGGTAGCGTTTACTTCGTTAGCAATTTCCGCGTCAAGCCACCGTCCCCTTCGTATCGTTCTTGCTCTCATAAGTTGACCATCGTCCTCTCTGCCGCTACACAGTTCGAAGACGTGACCCGTTCGTCGCCTTCATTCTGGCCGGATGCGTTTGAATTTACACCGTTCAGTTCGCTTCATTCCCGCATACGCTCATCGGTTTATCTAACAGGTCTTATTATGTGTCCTTTACGTCTCTTGCTGTTCGTTTTATAGTGTACTCAATAACATCCTTTGCGTTCTTCTCTTGCTTGCGGCTCTGTCAGATGTCGTTGGCGCTGTTGTTAGCATCACAGGCGTTTCTAGCACCGTCACTTCATTCGGTACCACTGTGCGTAGTGATTTGGTGCTTCAGAATGAAAAGTATGTTACACATGCACACCACTTCTTTACCGACTATAATACACCTGTTACTAACTTTCGGTGTTTCGTTGCCCAGTCACATGTTTCTTGATATCAGCCTGTGGAGTGAGATAGCTCGGAATCTCAATGGTCAGGAACTGGCTGTCCTTGGTCGTTCTGGGCCAGTTATGCTAGCTGTTTCCTCACTTCGGGTCACTGGCGCTACGAAAGGTCTCCATATACCTTACCGCCGCAGGATTCTCCCTTTCATTTCCCTTCCTCTTTTCCTCATTAACTTTACCCCTTTTGTAGGAGGTTACTCTCTTACCAGTACTCCAGGCACACGTTGTGTTCTCAACCCTGTTTCTGAAATGGCTCACCTGGTCCAATCTGTGTATGCCTCTTCTTATCCTTATCATATCTTTTTTTCCCTCAGCATCGTCAGTTGCCTTTTTGTTCCTGCTAATTTGTTGCGTTCCTTGCTTTTGCTTTCGCTAGGTTCTTTGCCAGCACTAATACATGTCAATATTACCCTCCGAGGTTTGCAACTCCTAATGAGGCAGCGGCTTTTGAAGCTGAATGTACGAAGACTGTAGCACAGCTCCTTGCCTTGTGTTTTCCACCTGCTGCCGATGTATGTTCCTTCCCCTTTTGCTCTCCTGCTTACCTGCTTCTGTTCCTTTCACTTCATTTGTTTGTCCGTCTAATCGTTTCTTCCGTTTCCTTTTGTGTAGTCTACGCGTTACCATTGCTCTGGTCGGATCGTCTCGGTTGATTCTTCTATGCAGTGGTATTACTTGGGTTGTGCGCTTTGTTCCAAAGCAGCCATAGATTATGATGGTGTTGACAAATGGTGTGATGACCACCGTCGATTGGTGCCTCAACAAACACAGAACTTGTAATTCCTTTCTTCATTCTTGCCCCCATACCTTTTGCCTTTTCTCGTGTCCTTACATGCTCCTGTACGTGTTTTTGTGCAGTTACAAGCTCCGGGTAACAGTTGATGACAACACTGGATCAGCAGCTTTTGTTCTGCTGGGTAGGGCCGCTGACCTTCTTGTGGGCTTGACTGCTAACGATCTCTCTACCAGGTTTCCTTACCAGCGCAATGTTTTACCACAAGAACTCCTGGCTCTTGAAGGGCGAGACTTTACTTTTGACGTCCAGCTTCCAAAACCGGAATATGGGTCTCGTGGCCCCCCAGAGTTCACGGTCCTTGCTGTCACTGAACAAGAACAACCAAATTCCTGCTCACCAGCTCTTGGTCGCCGGGCAAGAAATGCTATGTCCCATACACCACCTCCTAACAGGTATTTAAATGTCCTGACTTGTGTGGCACGTTTTCCTTTTGTCCATTACTAATCGCTGCTTTCCGTTGCAGTCCTCACAAGATGCCTCTTGCTTCTCCATATGTTGTTCCAACAATGCCGAGCGCTTCGGTAGACCATGGTCCTTCTGTTGCTTCACCGAGGTTATGCTCCCATTTTACATGCCCTTTTTCCCTGATTGTTCTTTGTCTTGAACTCGGGTTTCTTCTTAAATTTGCAGTGGGAGTTCTCAGCTTGCATTTTCTACTCCTCCACGTCGCCCCTATAGCAGGTTGTTTCTAAAATTCACTTTGCTTTACAAAATAGACAGCGCTCCTTTGGACGCTGTCGTACTCTTCCCAATGTGTTAACATTTCTTTCCCATGCGTTGTTTACCATCAATTTCCAGTAGCCGCATCGCTGCTGTATCTTCGCCCTCATCTGCTGCATTAGGAAGGTTGCCTGTTTGTTGTCTGCTTTACTAGCTTAGTTCTGCTTATACACGTTCTTAAGTCGTTTCCTGACATGTTTCTTTTAAACATCAGTTCCGTACCTTCTTCTCCCGAACTTAGTCGTACTGAGATTGTTTCCTATGCGCGGTCAGTTTCTTGCCTTTTCCTGTATTACCTCAATCGTTCGACTTTACTCCTGCTGATATTTGTCACTGTCTCTTGCACACCCGATTTTACTGTTTCGTAGGCCTAGAAGTGAGGAAGTGCCCCCAGAAACTGCACCACAGCGAACCCCACAGTACTTTCCCTACTGTTAACTTACTTACTAGCTTTTATTGTCTCTTCTTTCCTTGCTGAGCAGCTCTGTATCAGGGAACTTGCTGCGGACACTACAGATGCTAATGTTCAGAACACGAACATCAGTTCAAAGAAAGCGAAGCCGAAGAAACCATCTGCTAAGAAGAAGTCTCTCTGCCCTTTATTACTTGCTATGTTTCTTGTACCAAATTTACCATATCCTACATTAGGTCTTCAGTTCCTATTTACCTTGCTTCTGCTTGCGTACTGGCAATTTACTTGGTTGTTGTGCAATCTCTTAAAAAAATGTGCCCTGCTCCTTACCCATTTCCCAGTGTTCTTTCGTTTTACCACTTACTTGGTTGTTAACTGTGCATACGCCACTATTGCCTCTTAGAATCCTTGTGTTTATCATAGTATCCTGCAGTGTACTTTGATTTACTGGCCTTACCTTCTACAACTTTGTTTTACTTTTGCAGGAAAACTGGTGCTGCAGGTGCTGCGCGTCGTCCTACAGTTACTCTTGAAGAAACCGAAGTTCCGATAGCGTCCCTTCAGATCCCTGTTGGACATCCTTTGCCAACCGAATCGGCGAATCCTGTCTCTGGAAATCTTAATGCCCTCGGTGTCAATTTGCAGACAACAACAATTCAGCCTTTGTCACAGTATGTGTCGTCCTAATTATCTTCCTGCCAGTGTTGTCTGCTCCCTAAGATTCCAGTTTGCATGATTTTTGTGCCCTTTAAAAACTGATCAAAAATGGTTTCCAGCCTGCACAAAATACTTATTTTTGACGGGGAAGAACTGTAAACAATGCTTTTACATTTACCTTGGTCTTGTGCTTTTATACATGGTTCTATGTCGTTAACATAAAGTACAATAGCCGATGGATGGCCTTTTGTACCCCTTTCTTCGACCTTCGCTAACTTACACGTGTTTACAGTTTGCAAACGCACAATGTTACCTCTCAGTGCCATACTAATTATCTACGAATGTGTTACCTTTTTAAAAATACAGAACAAAATAAACAAATAGTTGTAGCTTTTGCTTACTTGGTCAGCTTCAAATCAATTGTTTTCCCACAGATTGAAGTAATAATCGTCTTCACTTTATGGAGATCCCTTGTGCAGTTTGTTCTTTGTTGTTAGGCATTGTCTTATTCTTGATTTACAAGTTGCTGCCGCATTGCATAGGAATGTGCATGTTTTCCCATATAGATGTGTTGTTAAAGACCTACTTCCTCTGTTTCCTTTTCTAGGCAACCTATGTCTATAAATCCTGCACCTGTACGGCGCCGTCGCTTGGTTGTTTATTCTGACGAAGACGAACCTGTTGTCCCTTTGGAACTGCAAGACTTGGATGTTGAACTTCCACTGCAAGAACAGCCTGTTGGAAACTCTTCGACTTATCCTGTTCCCACTGTTGACGTTCCTTTGCCTTCTCCTCTTCTTGCTGTCCAAGAAGTTCCGCTACTGTCAGTGGGGAAAACTAATTCTGGGAGGGCAAAGCGAATCAGAACACCGTCTACAAAGGCCATTGAAGCATCTGTGGATGCTTCTAAGAGAAAGCCAAAAACTCCAAAATCGTCTGCTAAGGAACCTGCTAAGAAGCAACTGTTTGCTGATTAACCGTGTTTCGCACCATGCGCGTGCTAATGTACCATGTTTGTCCAGTACTGTCCCTCCCTTCCTTTTGTAGAACTGTTTAAGGGGAACACTATTTAGCGAGTGGTACATTCTGTACTCTTGCCTTTTTGTCTGAATGTTGCAACATTTGCCACACCTGTGGTGTTCCATTACTGGCACCACTGTTATCAATCTGCTCTGCTATGACATTTGACTTGTATTGGTTACCTCTTGGTACAGATAACCCCTTGCGTACCTGCTTTCTAACCAGGTCTATGTCGTTAATATAAAACACCATTTGGGCATGGACTCCTTTAAGTGGCATAGTATTGCGCCACTCTGCAACTGATCTTTATTTTGTGCTAAGGATCTGTTGTACTTTGTATCTTCATTTGTTGTGCGCAAATTCGCCGTTTAGACCGCATTCGCATCGCGCCTGTGTCCTCTTCGTTAGTCACTTGTTTTGCTCTGTATTCGCAGGTGGCCATTGCCTGTTGTAAATGGCCGCTTTCAGGACCAAATTGTGCACACATTTTATCGGTTGCAGGGTATTTAGGTGGTGTCCTACCAGCCACACAGTAACTAGATATTTTGATTGTCCACTAATACCATGCCTTTGTTTATTAGCTTCCATAGACCCACATTATAAACTTATTTCTCTTCTATTAATTGCCATCATGCATTTATTATTCTGACTAGGCTGTTCACTAATGATGGCTTTATTACTTCTCACTTCTCTAGACTAGCCTGCTATGGTGCATGTTGTATTATTATACATTTTCTTAAGAAGGATATTTTTCCCTGGAAACATCGTTTACCTGTAGACTGTCTTCTTCCATAACTGCTTCCCCATTACTGCTCCTTTTTGCTCATTTTGTCTTTGCTGTTGGTCATTTAATGCAATTCTCTGCTGCATCTGCTATACCATTACCTGGTATCTGCCTTCCTCTGCAATTCTGCCAGTTTTGTTATACCACTGTACCCGTTTAGAAGGCGTGGCATGGTTAGTTTGGTCAATTTATTACTTTTATCTTGCTACGTTTACCATTGTTTCCTGTACCATGCTACGCTTGTGCCATAGTTTGCAGGTCTTTGTTTTTTTTGTAACGTCAGTGTGTCATCTCAGGCCACTCCCAGACAGGCTGCACTCCTGTTCCCCGGTCGTTCTGCGAATAGGAAGCGTCGTCATATTGGTCTTTCCACTGAATTTGTGCCTACCACGCCTCCTTCGAGAAGTTCTGTGAGGCGTCGTGCGTGCAACTTTGATAGACGGGGACGCTTGCACCCACTGCTTGATTCAGAAGGTGAACTTGACTCATCCGAACTGGACTTAAGAACTCCTGAAGACTTAACAGCCAGTTCGCAGACTCAGCCTCCTGTTGCGTTGGATGGTGATTGTTCGTTGCCTGATGTGACTCTACCACCTTCACAACAATCAGACTTCAGTCGAATTATCGATCATGGTTTCCCTGACTGTGAATGCCAATACTGTGGTGCACGGTTCTGGTACGAAGAGCGGCTTAACAGGCATGCATCTCTTGCTCCTGTTTTTACGCTTTGTTGTCAAAAGGGACGAGTACGCCTCCCATTCCTACAGGAAACTCCTCAGTACCTTGAAGACCTCTTGGGTGTTAATGCCGGTCCTATGGCAGCGCACTTCAGGGAACATATACGCTCCTATAATGCTGCTTTTTCTTTCACATCTTTTGGAGCACGCCTTGATCCGAGGGTTACACGTTCACGAGGACCTTATTCATTTGTGATATGCGGAGAAAATTATCATCGAATGGGATCTTTGCTTCCTGCTGCAGGCCAGAGACCTAAATATTCTCAGCTATACGTCTTTGACCCGCAGACCGAACTAGCAGATCGACTCTCCAATTTCTCTTCTGCTGAAAGGTCCCTGCGTCCTGATATTGTTTCTGGTTTAATGAAGCTGTTTGACGTGACAAATGAATTAGTTAAGTCTTTTAGACGCATTCAATCTGAATTGAATGATCCAGCATCAATCAATTTAAGACTGCGTATTGTTGGTGCACGGGACACAACATCTCGACAATATGAACTTCCAACTGGTTCAGAATTGGCTGGACTCATTCCTGGTGATTTCTTGCCTGATAAGGAAGAACGAGACATCATTATTGATCATCGGTCAGAGGGCCTGAAGAGGATCACAAGTGTACACCCGAAGTTTGATGCTTTGCATTTTCCAGTCCTTTTCCCATACGGAGAAGATGGATTCCATGTAACCATACCGTATGATCCTGTCCATACTCCCAAAACATTGAAAAGGAAACATGTGACTCAGAGAGAGTACTATGCTTACCGGCTTCAGCACAGAGACGACGAAGGTCAGACATTGATGCGAG